AAACTTCTCCGATTCTAGTATTTTATTTAATATTTTTCTTAATTAAGGATCGCTCCTACTAATCTCATACGACAACCACTTAAGCGAATAATATTCTTCGACACTTGGTTGTTCGGAAAAGTGTATCGGGCTAGGCCTTAGCTATACCAGGCAATGGATGAGGAGAAATGGACTACCTGAATACCCAAATTCTGATACCAGCAGCAATCAATTCTTGATATATAGGAAGCATAGAGAGAGGAGAATCATCCCAGTAGCTTCCCACAAGATCACTGTGAAAGAAAAAAGCAAGAATTCAGAAGACCATGCAAGCGCCCAAATAACGAGATACCTCAAATATGCCATAAAAACAAACCTGCATGTACTCCATGGATAAGTTATCCCAGTTACATTAGCATGGAATGCCTTCTGAACGTCGGGGTGATTAAAGTACACGACAGAGTACCTCTCGGTACAGGGATCGTAGGCTCTCGACATCCATGGCTGAATTTAACGTAAAAACTCCCTCAACGTTACAAAAAACCGAATCAAATAAGGAGTTTTTGCAAAAACTGACAGAATGTTGAATGTACTTACATAGTGACCCCTTAGGTTATGTCTCAACGATGCAGTACCGTTGCACGGACGAGTGTAAATGCTATATGGATCGATATTTCCTTGCTCAAACTCTGCAACAGACAGAGCTTTCTTGCATTCAACTGACGGGTGCTGAGAGGATCCAAAATCACAAGCATGTCGCAGCAGTCGGTACGTAGAATCGGATATCAGACCGTGAGTCCACCAGTACTCAAACGTGCCAACGTAATCGTGATAGTCGTCGGTAACAGCATTCCCTACCTAAACAAGAGAATCAAAGCAGGAAGATAATTCGCCATCGAGCAATAGTTCGATTAAAATAAATGTATGAACGACAACATTATCGACTCTAATTCATTACCATAAATCCCTTGAAGTTTATGACTGGATTCTGAATTCCCTTATTTCGTTCATAAATCAACTGTGATAGCTGAGGAACATAGTGACCTGAAACCGAACACGGGTTCATGCCATTATATCGAGTTTCGAATAGACATTAGTTCATGCAAGTAGAGGATACAGAGAAACTCGAAACCTGCATAACTCTCTCCAGCAATGTAGAAATCTCTGTGCTTATACTGAGGAAACCTTTCAAACCAATTCACTAAAAATCTATATGCATCTTCAGCTGAAAGTTCACAACAACAAAACATCCTTAAATGTCCCAACATTTCATTGTTTATCGTTTTGTTACGTGTCACGAACCATACCGTGTTAATTCATAATATCAGTAGAATACCTGTTTTCCGGTCACCTGCAGTGTACAAATCCGAGGTAGTATTCGAGTACGAAAAGCCAACACCAGCTGGGGATTCAAGAAACAGCAAATTTGCCACTGCAATGGATAAGATAAGATGAGATAACATGAATTGTTAGCAGAAAACTAGATTAGGAAAACCAAACAAGCTAGACACACATACAATTGTTCCAAGCATATGGATTCAAGTACAGAGTCCTCCCATCTGGCTTAATCCGGAAAGGACCAATTTCTTCAGCTGCTCCATAAGCAACAGAAGAGCAACCAGGGCCACCGTTCAGCCACAATACAAGAGGTCTCGACTTCGGTACACGGCTAGTCGGTGTCTCGGTCAGCCAATAAAACAATGCCCTCCCAGCTTGCTTATCTACAGTAACATAACCAGAATACTGGGCAAAGTCCACATTCTTTGGCTGCCCTGGCAATTGGGTTATCCTATCTCTTTCTTGCTCAGAAATGTAAGATCCATGGGAGATTCCCACCAAAAAGAGAACAAAAAACAGATAGAATAACGAATTACTCATTGCTAGAATTGGGATCTTGAGATTGAGAAAGAAAAAACAACTCAAAAACTCAGATCCCAGGATAACTCAAAGAATTGATCCTAGAGAAGACAAGAACATAGAGACGGAACAGTAGCAATGGTTGAAATTCGTGCAGATATTTCATTAAAACATGGTCAGCATTGGTCTGAAAGTGATTCAATGTACGTAATGATAAGAACAGTGAAGAACGAGCGATTGTCGAGTGTTTTTCATTATCAAATCGCCTATTACTGGATTAAATTTTGACAGATTCAGCACATGGGGTTGCTATTAAAACTCACAAATTCAATTCTAACGAACACATAGAACAAAAAAATAGAAAAGAAATCAAAAGAATCTGTTGAATCATTGGATTAAAAGATGCGTGCGGTGAGATCTTGAAGTACAGGGGTTAACAGTGAGTGGTTGGATTACTAAAAAGAATTATGAATGGTAAAGGGAATGGTATGAAAAACGAAAAGAATGGAAAAATCAAGAGAGGTAAAAAGGAGAAAACAACAAAAGTACTCTATCGGCTGCTTCCGCCAGTGAATTCTGTAATGTACTAAAGCCGCAGCGGCAGCAGCGGCGGCAGCGGCGGTGGCGGTGGGTAGGTGGTCCATTAAAAATTGACCCCAGGATTGAGGACTTCCGAGGAATGGCTACTTCTTCCCGTTTACTGCTGCTACCAGACAAAGAAGAATTTTTCACACTCTTATAAATTATATTTGATATTTTTAATTTTTAATAAATTATTATAATTGATTTTAAATATAAATAATCAAAAATATTTATGAAAATTTAGAACTAAAATTAACATTTTTAATTTTTATATATAAAAAATAAAAAATTACAATCTTTTAAAATATGATATATACAGTTCCATTAAAATCAAACAATAAGAGTAATTTTTTAAATAATTTAAAATTTTTATTTCGATTAATTTAGCCAAAATTTATATAATAAACTTACAATTTAATTTAAAAATATATAATATTTAAATGTAAGAGAATAAATAGGGTGGACAAAGTGACGAGTGGTGACGGTGTCGATAGGAAGTTGTGCAATCAAGTTGTTTGTTGTAGGGACCTTGACCGACAGCTGTCAGGTAACCCATACATCTCACCACGCGCCCTCTTATCCACGCGCTCAATGACACAAAACGAGCCCCACCACGTTCCAGACAGGCAAGGTGAAAAAATGAGGCTGATTTGAAGAATATATTTGCACGTGACTTGCATGTGCAACTTTCTTTTCCCATTTTGCCCTTACGAGAATTTAAAACAGCAATATTAAATAATTGGAATAAGGCCGCCATCAGGGAACAAATAATAAAAATAATTACCGAATTAAAAAAATAAAATAACAATAATATTAAATATCGAATTAAAAGGAAGCAAGAAAAAGAAAAGGACATTCGGATTCCACGTCACAGTGGACCCCAGAAGGCAATCAACTGAAAGTGAAGTGGACAACACGTCTGCCCTCATCATGGGCCTAGTTTTATTGGGCTCATTTTGTCGGCTGGACCAAAATATGGGCCTTAAGCCCATATCATTTTTCGAATTTATATATTATTATTATTTTCCGTAAATTTACTCCCTATTTTACCCTCATTTCATAAATATATATATAAATATGAAAAATTAGATTAAAAATATTTAATATTTGTAAGTGAAATTTATAAGATTTTAGCTATTAAGTTGAAATATGCATAATTTTTTTAAATAATAATAATAATAATAATAAATAATTTTATTGGACGAAGAAAATTCACGTATACTCATTTAAAGAATAATCATGATTTTATAATTAAAGAATATTGTATTGTTTTCGGGTTAAAATTTAAACCTAATTTAAAAAAAAAATAATAAATTAGGCAAAAATAATAAAATTGATTTGCCCAATGCCCCCACAAAGAATTATTTTTTTGACTTCTGCACTTTCGATGGGACGGAGAAGGAAAATCGAGGAAGATTTGGGGCACTAACGAAATACCAAAGTAGTAAAGGGGCAAATCTGCTAATAAAAGGTCAAAAGGAAACTTGACGAAGGTAAAGGATGGAGGCCTCACGCGCGCCGTAAGCGCGTGAAAGGATGTTTTTTTTTTTTCTCTCTTAATTATTATTTTGCTAAAAAATAATTTAGTTGCTATTTAAATCGTCATAATTATTAAATTTGACTCATGAACCAAATTAAAAGACTTAAAATCGAAATTAAATTCAAATTAAAGCGACTAAATGAACATTAAATTTAAAATTTGTTTTAATTATCTTTTTCCCTCTCGTGGGGAATAGTTCGAAACTTTGGAGCGGGTGCAGAGAGCACGTGCTCCAAGCGGTTCACGTGACTTTGCACGAAGCGTTGATGACGTGGCAAATTATATTATTATTATTATTATTTTTAATATCTTTGTCGTTTGGCGGTTTGACTCAGTCTCTTAATGGGCGCCAAACGGAATAAAAAGGCCAACTTGTTTAAGGCGGGAAGGGCTGAATTTTAGAGAAAGTCATTGATTTTAGGCCGCAATTACGAAGTTACCCCTGGATTCAGAGTTCTGCAATTTTATTTATTACTTTGTTTTTATGATTTAAAATTTGAAAAAAAAAACTACTAAAATATATATATGATATTTTACATTGAATACATAAAACATACTCATAAATTAATTAATACTAATTTATTATCATAATATTTAATTAGTTATTGCAATTATTATCAAATACATTTTGAATAATAATTAAAATTAAAATTAGATTTATATTTCTTAATAGCAACAAAATATTTAAATTTTTGTAATTAAAAAATGAAATGATTCGTTCAAAAAATATTTAAATATGAAAATATATTTAAAATTTGAATATAAAAATCTCTATTAAAATTCCTGAAAATGTTTTACAAAAATTTCCAAATAAAAAATTACGAATATATTTAATTTGTTGCTCTAGGTGGGAAGAAAGTCGGTGGGTCGGATATGTAAATACGTTAACAAAGCAGGGGTATTTTGGGAACACAGTAAATAATTCTGTCTTGAAAATGAATAATAATAATAATTGCTATTATTTTTTTCCCGGACTTGAAGCGTGATTGAAATATGGTATAACAATCTCGTTGAGATCCGGACGCCCATCTCTCTCTCTCTCTCTACTCAAGGATCTATTTTGTTCTTTGTCGTCTTTCTTTGCGCTTTCCTTCTTCTTCATCTTACTTCCTCGCTTTAGAAGCAGATTTTCCACCAGCCAAGAAAGGGAGATAAAGGAGTCGCTAAGAAGATTGCAAATCCCAGGAAGTGTGGAGGAGGAAGAAGAACTCTCTTCTAATTCGTTGTCTTTTTGATCTGATTCAAGCCATATGATTCATTTGCAGCGCTGTAGATTTTGTATTTGAAGATCCAAAGCGGATATTATTGGTTTACGAGAGTTTTTTCAGTCGGTGCTCAGTTTATTGAGCTTTTGTTTATGTGATTATGCGCGTTGCAAGTTCGTGAAATTGGTTGCCGAGTAGTTTGAATTGGAATTTGGCTGTGGTGGTGGGGGCGAGGCGCTAGGGCTTATACTGGATTTTGTGTGTGTTTGTGGGGCACTCGTTGGTCGTGGAGGCTCATGCGCTTTTCTTGCTTTTCATGCCGCCAGAACCTTTGCCGTGGGACAGGAAAGACCTCTTCAAGGAGAGGAAACATGAGAAATCGGAGGCCATAGGGTCTGCGACCAGATGGAGGGACTCTTATCATGGATCTCGTGAGTTCAACCGGTGGGGTTCTGCAGATTTCCGAAGACCTACTGGTGAGTTCTGATTTTACTCTATTGTTTCGGCTTTCGAACTTCTTAGATCTTAAGGCGTCTAAGCAGGTATACCATATTCGCATTTTTTTTTTACCTCGAGTTTTTGGGTGGGGTTTGTTTTTTGAAGCTTTGGATAATAATGGATTTGATTAGGATACTTGGTTTTATCACTGCCTGTATATTTTTTCTCTGCTGTTAATGATTATTTTTGTTGTTTTTTTCTCCGGAAGGTCATGGTAAGCAGGGTGGCTGGCACCAGTTTTCTGAAGAAGCTAGTCATGGATATGGGCCTTCTCGGTCATTCAGTGACAGGGTAGTAGAAAATGAGAGCTTCCGGCCGTCAGTTCCTCGCGGAGATGGAAAAAATATTAGAATTGGGAGAGAAAGTAGAGATTCTTCTAGTTATAGAGACTGGAGAAGTTACTCTAGGGAGACTACCAATGGATTCGGAAACCCGTCTCGAAGGCCTTCCTCGCAGGATGTGAGTTCTGATCAGAGGTCGGTAGATGATACAGCGACACATTCCTCTCCTCAATCTGATGTTGTAAGTGTCTCAGATCAAATTCACTCTAAGGACCGTAATGATAAGGTTGGTGGTGCTTGTGGGTCAGAAAATGGCCTGAGGTCTGATGTTGAAGTTTCCCTTGGCTCCACTGATTGGAAGCCTCTGAAGTGGTCCAGGTCTGGGAGTTTGTCGTCTCGTGCATCTGCTTACAGCAGTTCGACGAACTCAAAGAATGAAAAGGCTGATTTACCTCCTAGAGTTTCATCTCTAATAGAAAGCTCTTCTGCTGAAGCTACTGCCTGTGTGACATCTTCTCTGCCTTTTGAAGATACCATTTCTAAGAAGAAGCCAAGGCTTGGATGGGGTGATGGATTAGCGAAGTTTGAGAAAGAAAAAGTTGAGGCTCCTGATACAAGTATGAGAAAAGAAGGGACTCTTCTTTCCAGTATTAGTGCTGAATTAACTCATTCCCTTGGTTCACACTTTTCTGAGAAAAGCCCTAAAACTTTACCCTTTTCAGATTGTGCATCTCCTGCAACTCCATCCTCTTTTGCTTGTAGTTCATCATCAGGTAAATTTTTTTTCATTGATAAAATATTATTAGACGTGATACTTTTAGGGTTTCAAAGTGATTTATACTTGCAGTTAGTTCAATTTGTTAACAAATTGTGACTATATTTTAGGCCTACCCTACTCTTACAGCATTTTTACTAATGCCTTGACCATTCTATTAGACTCAAGTTGGCATAGTCAATTTAAGATTTAATATGGGGAAGGTATAGTAGTCTACTATTCGATTTTTTTTTGCTTGCCTTATGTGTGATGTAAGCTGTACTCTGAAATGATTTGTGCCATTATTAGGAGGACTTTTTTGCTTGTGCAGTTTTGAGGGTTGAAAAATGAAAGTCTTAGTTGGCCCTGAACAATGCAAGTTGTATGAAGTCGAAAAAGAAAGAAGCAAAGGTTAAGAAGTTGGAGGTTTGGTTTTGTCTACCTAGATCGCGACAAAAATATTCCTTCAACTTGCAAAGTTCATTATTAAACTATGAAAATTTTCATTTTGAGCCGAATATGTTATGCTTGGCCTAAGAACTAATGTTGAATTTTGGGTCCCAATGAAGGACGTGTCCATTCTGTTTATATGGGGTGAGTGGATGTGTATGAGTTATGTCCTCATCTCATTGATAGCCAAAAGGTAACATAAAACGACGATGGGCAATTATGCTGACGATTAAGCAATTGGACAGACAAATGGTTCTTCAACATTAAGTGGAATATGAATCATGTTGTCCTCACTTTGTGTACAGTGAGGAAAAGGTTCAGGTCTTTTGTTTGGATAATAGACTCCCTTGAAGACCTACTTCATGCTTCGAACTACCCAACATTCTTCTGGAAATTTGAGTGCAACAAGTACTTCATTAATCACAAACAAAAGAGGAAGATTTTTTAGAAATCACGTAAGTAGTTAACTCGAGGGAAATTTCAACCTGGTGGGACCGGCGGGAGAAGAATACAAATACAGTGGTGGAAGTTGTGCCAGAGGGCTTTGCGATTAGCAAAAACTTGGTGCGAACTTTGAAGTAGAGTAACTTGTGTATCAGATCCTTAATAGGGAATTCTGCGAAGAAAGGTTGTGATGCTCAGAAGAAAATAGCTAGCGAGGGTAACAAGTTTGTAAGAATTTTGGAAAATGAAATGAATGAGGAGGAGATGGAGATAGATGGCCTGGACACAGAGGTTTCTATAGAAAGTGATATCAGGGCTCTTAGGTTCTTTCAATGAGAATAATTTGTGAATGTGAGGGTTTTGGGGATTCCCTGAAAAGACCATTGATTAACGATCTTATTTGGTAGAGCTAACTCAGATGTAGTCACTTTGTTGGAAACGAGGCTTGACGAGGTAGACTAAAGAGTTGTGAAATCTGTTTGGAGCTCCAGAGGAGTGATTTGGCTAACCCTGGATATGGTTGGATCTGCCGGTGGTATTTTTATGATGTGGAGAGAGATCAATATTGAAGTCTTGGACATGGTGGTGGGATCCTTCTCTGTGTCTATTGATTGTAAGTTCAAGGGGGATGTTGTTGGTTGGATTTCAGGGGTCAACGAACCATGCTCCACTTATGGTACAAACGAGTTTTGATTGGAGCTTTATGACTTGGCAGGACTTTGTGTGGTGCTACCCAAGCTCGTTATTTTTATTCAGGCTCTTTTTGTAACTTTTCTCCATAGCCATTATATGTTTGTTTTGTTGTGGTTTTCTGAGATTGCTTTTGTTTTCTCTTTATTTTCTGAAATATAGTTGCTTTTTTCTAGAATAAGGCGTTGAGCGGGTGCTTCCAATTCTTTTAGTATCCAATTGTAATTATGAGCAAAGAAATAATTCTGTACCTTAAAATCTTTTAATAGGAACTTTGGTATCCAATCTTCTTACCTTTATATATGCTGAACGTTCTTTTCTTTCTTTCTTTTTCTTTTTTGAATTGACTGCTATAGGCTTGGAGGATAAACCATTTAGTAAGGCAGCAAGTGTCGATGGCATGAAATGTAGTTCACCCAGGTCCGGTTCACAAAATCAGCTTCAGAACTTCTTCCTTAGTTTAGAGAAGTTGGAGATTAGTTCTATTGCTAAAATAGGATCATCACTTGTTGAACTGTTTCAGTCTGATGATCCAAATACAGTAGAATCATGTTTTGGGAAGTCGACGTTGAATAAGCTGCTAGCGTATAAAAGTGATATTTCAAAGACGTTGGAGATGACTGAATCTGAAATTGATTTACTTGAAAATGAACTTAAGTCTTTGAAATCTAAAAATCGAGGCAATGTTTCTCGTTCGAAATCTTGCAGTGCGATATATGTCAAAGAATCAGATGGTGTGTCATGTATTTCTCCTCGACACACTTCCTTGAAAGTAGTTTCTACTTCGGATTCAACAGTTGAGAAGATGCCAGTCTGCAAGAACGTCGTGGGAGTTGAAGATGTCGATACGAAAGATGAGGAAATTGATAGTCCTGGAACTGTGATGTCGAAATTTAATGAACCAACCCGAACTGAAGTTACAGATGTAATTGTATCTGACAAGACGGGAAGGAGTTTATCAATCTCTGAGCCGTTTGTGGATGAATGCAATGAATGTATTCGTGCTAAGAGTTGTACCGGTGAATCCATTTGTGGTGATTTGATGGCACAAGCGGCTAGTGGATCGTCTCTCTGTGATCTAATTTTTGCAAGTAATAAAGAATATGCAAGTAAGGCTGCAGAAGTAATTTTTGGGTCCTTGCCAGCTGAAATGTTTAAGATCAGTAGTCAAAGCACCAACTTTGTCCCCTGCTCGGAGACCGAGAAGCTTACTAAAGAGAAATTTTTGATGAGGAGGCAGTTTTTAAAATTTAAGGAGAGTGCATTAACCCTTAGATTTAAAGCCTTGCAACACTCATGGAAAGAAGGTTTGCTGCATTCTGTGAAGAAATGTCGCTCAAAGCCCCAAAAAAAGGAGTTGAGTCTAAGGGTTACATATTCTGGTCATCAGAAGTACAGGTCTTCAATTCGCTCCCGCGTGGTTCAGCATGGTGAGTTGAGTTCTATCTTTCCTTCTTCTAGACTTGCTATTTGTTTTATAGTCAAACAAATTCTTCAAATGTTCGATGCCGATTTTCTATGTTAAAAGGTATTGGCTCTATTTGTGTTGATGATAAAACTATGGAATTTGAATATTTTTAAAGTGAATTAGAATGTTAATGATGAAATTATACTGCAAATATTTGTCAAGTATGATTGCTTTATTGAAAGTTCTGTCTTCAATTAAAGAAAGCAAGGCTATCTGTACTTCTTGTTGTGCTTGCTCATTTTTAATGTTTGATTCGCTCCCGCATGGTTCATTTTAATAGGTGGAGATTGTGTGATTAGGCTTGTTATGTGCTATCATGAGTTGAGTTCATTCTGAAACTTAAGTATGGTAGAACAGATTTTTAAGAGTGTGGAAACCTATCCCTAGTAGACACGTTTTAAAAACTTTGAGGGAATGCCTAAAGAGGACAATATCTGCTAGCGGTGGGCTTGGGCTTGGGCCGTTACAACTAAGAAAGCTTAAAAGAAAGTGAATATGTTTGATATTTCCCTCTTGTAGTCAGAGATTTAAGCTGAACTCATATAGAACTTAAAAAATATGCATGACTTCAAAACCTTTGTAGTATTCTGAGATGAGTATAATTTTCTCTTCCATTTTGTGAGTGCTTGGCAGCCAGCTACATTTATCTTTCCAAAGCTTTTGTGATTGTAATTTGTTGACTCGTTTTTCACGAAATCTGATAGAAAATTCATCTCTTAGAACCATGAACTGTCATTATGATGTAATAATCGTTTAAATTTTGATTTTTTAGGAGCATGTCAAAACCGTGCCCGTAACTCAGAAATCGCTACTTGTTACTCCAGCAAGCTGCTGTCGAATCCACGTGTTCGGCGTTACAGGAATATTTTGAAGATGCCAGCTATGATTTTGGATGAAAACGAAAAGACGGCTTTAAGGTTCGTCTCCAATAACGGGTTGGTTGAAGATCCATGTGCTGTTGAGAAGGAAAGGAGCATGATAAACCCTTGGAGTTTAACAGAGAGAGAGTTATTCTGGGAGAAGCTATCTTTGTTTGGAAAGGATTTTAGAAAAATTTCATCATTTCTCAGCCACAAAACCACTGCTGATTGTATCCAGTTTTATTACAAAAATCACAAGTCTGATAGTTTTAAGAAGAGAAAAAATTTGGATTTGGGCAAGCAAATGAAATCTTCTACCATGACATACATGTTAACATCAGGGAAGAAATGGAATCCCGGCGTAAACACCACGTCCCTCGACATTTTGGGTGTTGCTTCAGTAATGGCAGCACAGGAAGACAGCAATATTGAAACTCAGCTGACATGTGCTCGCCGTTTTGATGAACTTCAATCCGAAAAAGAAACGGTTGCTGCTGATGTTCTTGTTGGTATATGTGGTTCGATTTCTTCGGAACCGATGAGTTCTTGCGTTACAAGTGCTATCCATCCTGGTGAGGACTACAGGGAGCCGAAGTGCCATAAAGTGGATTCTGTGACGAAACTGCCTTCGACGTTGAATGCTATGCAGAGAACAGATAATGAACCTTGTTCGGATGATAGTTCTGGAGATGTAGATTCTTCGAGTTGGACAGATGAGGAAAAGTCTATCTTCATGCAGGCTGTGTCGTCCTATGGTAAAGATTTTGATATGATTTCAAGATGTGTCGGGTCGAAATCTAGGGACCAGTGCAAGGTTTTTTTCAGCAAAGCTCGGAAATGCCTTGGATTGGATTTGATCCGTACTTCTGAAGATGTAGGAACGCCAAGGAGCAGTAACGACGCCAGTGGGAGCGGGACCGACTCGGAAGCCCACTGTGTTGTGGAAGGAGCTCGTAGTAGCGAGGAAATTGGCTCCAAGTCAGTGGATGGTTTTAGTGAATTTGGGGAAAGTACAGCATTTCAACAGTCAGACGCTAAACGTGCTGAGGCTGTTGGAAACTTGTTTTCCGAGACATCGAAGGAAGTAGAGGAGGACGCGCCAAATCTTGATTCTCATTCTGCCTGTAATCTCGCTAATGCTTGTGCTTCTCCAAGCCAGCCCGAGCCAGTGCATGACCACAAAATCGAAGGTTCTTCTGAAAATACCGAAGCTGGAAGCAACCGCTGTAACGAACCCAATGTTCTGAGGTCGGAATCCATGTCTACAGTTGATGAAAATTCAACAGCTATCAGCGAGAGCGGAGCTATTACGAAGCTCGCATTTGGAGAAGAAAAAGGAAGTAACAGTAATTTACATGCTCAAAGTATATTACAGTGCTTGGTTCAGGATTCATCTGGAATTGATCCACAAATTTCACATCCCAACTTTCTTAAAGTGGATTCTGTGGAGAAGTCTTATAAATTGGAGGTTAGGGATGCGCCCAAAACACCGATGAACAGAGATGACTATGCCGAGCGTGAAAATCATTTGTCACGCCACGTTGGATCGTCCGAGTTTCCATGCAGCCATCCTTTCAATAAGCCAATCATCGAGGACATGAATCGAACGATCAATCACACATCTTTTCCTGTTGTTCGAGCATTATCAAAACCAGACATCAATTGTAACAGTACGTATGTTGCCAAGGAACAGGAATGCCGTCTTCAAAACTGTAACAGTTCCAAGCTGTGCCACCGGTCTGCTGAGCTTCCTTTTTCGCCTCCAAATGTGGAATTCGGTCATGATCATTGGAAGAACACTTCACGCAGTGGCAGTGCTTCAGATTCCGATGTTCCATGCAGGAAAGGTGATGTGAAACTGTTCGGTCAGATACTAAGTCATGCCCCTTCCCAGCAGAATTCGAGTTCTGGTTCTAACGAGTGTGGTACGAAAAAGGGACTTCATAAGTCGAGCAGTACGTACGATATGGGAGAGAATGCTCCGTCAAGGAGTTACGGGTTTTGGGATGGAAGCGGATTACAGACCGGGCTATCCGCAATGCCTGATTCTATCGTTTTACAGGCGAAGTATCCTGCTGCATTCAGTGGCTACGCCACAACATCTGTTAAAACCGAGCAGCAGCCATTGCTGACACTCGCAAAAAATGATAATCAAGCTTACAAAACTGGAGATGGTGTTAAGAAACGACCTTACCCAGTTGATATATTTTCCGAGATACACAGAAGAAACGGGTTCGATTCTCTTTCGCTGGCGAGTTTACAGCAGCAGGGAAGAATGATTGTTGGAATGAACGTCGTCGGGAGGGGAGGGATTCTCGTGGGTAATTCTTGTACTGGCATTTCCGATCCGGTGGCAGCCATTAAAATGCATTATGCAAAGGCCGATCAGTACGTCGATGGGAGTTGGAGAGGAGGGAACGGGGATATAGGCAGCAGCAGGTAGTAGAAGCGCACCGAAGGCCCCTGCCATGGCCGGGGACGACCTCACCTCTGTATGATAATTAGCCTGTTTCAAGTGAAAAAAGTGGTAGGGTGTAGGATAATCTGAGCCAATGGGTTCTGAAGAATCCATCTTTTTGGTTAAGAAAAGGAAGAGATTTTAGGGTATTGTAATATTGTAGCTGCAGCTTTGAAGTATTTGATTTCAACACAGAAATAATCTTTCAAAAAAAAAAAAAAAAAAAAAAAAAAAAAAAAAAAAAAAAAAAAAAAAAAAAAAAAAAAAAAAAAAAAAAAAAAAAAAAAAAAAAAAAAAAAAAAAAAAAAAAAAAAAAAAAAAAAAAAAAAAAAAAAAAAAAAAATACAGCTCAGATNTTTAACCTAACCGACCTGGGATTTTATCATTTTTTTTATGAAGATTCTTCAAATATTTACAAATTTTAATTAATTTGGGTAATTTTTGGTTAATTGTCTTTTGAAAAATTAGTTATTATAGTTAAAATATCATTTTAGTTCAATAATGGGTTTTGATTATTCTTTTTGAAGCAAATATTTTTTAAATTGATTAAATATGACACAAAGATTAATGATATTTTATCACATAATTTCATTAAATTGTTTTCTAATAAAATATTTTAGGTAAAAGCGTTCTAAAAAACTCGATTATATGTTTTTTTTGTTGCTAAATGTTATTCTTATTTTAAAAAACTCTTAATTTTCTGTATTATTTTTAAAAGTTGACTAATTATATTTTTTAAAAAAAAGAATTGGAATCGGAATTAATAATGAAAGGTAGATGTCCTATTAGTTGGAGAAGAGAACAAAACACACCCTTATAAAGGCAAGAAAGCCTTCCCCTAGAAAATGCGTTTTAAAGCCGAGAGGAAGCCCGAAATGGAAAGCCCAAAGAAGACAATGTCTGCTAGTGGCGGATCTGAGTCTTTACAAATGGTATTAGAGCCAGACACCGGAAGATGTGCTAACCTTCTCACTGTTCTCCGAAGGGAGGTAGACAATAGGCGGTGTGCTATTAAACATGTTGGGCCCAAAAAAGGTGGATTTGGTGGAGGTTGCACATCGATTAGAGAAAGGGACGAGTGCCAGCGAGAACGCTGGGCCCCGAAGGGAGGTGTATTGTGATGTCCCACATTGGTTGGGAGGAGAACAAAACACACCTTTTATAAGGGCGAGGAAGCCTTAAGCAACTCAAAAGGGAAAGCCCAATATCTGCAAGCGAGTCATACCTTTTGTCTGCTCCGTCTCAACTGGATATGTTTTTGGGGTATCCAAACGTATAATTTTCTAGAGTAGTCCTAGCGTAGGTAACATAGTTTATCGTATCGTAGGTGGTGGAAATAGCGTGAACATGCCACACATCTAGGGAGAAGAGTGAAGCAACTCGGCCGATAATAGAGCCGGAGACGAAGCGATAGCCAGCCTAATAATTTGTTAATTAAAAAATCATATTTAAAAGAGAATAAAATTTTGAACTAAATAACTACTTTATAAATATGTTATTATGTTCGTAATTTAAATCCTCACCCGAACAATAACAAAAAAAAATTAAGGAGGAAATAGAGATAAATAGAGTTAGAATTTGGCGTTATTTGCCCATTTTTGAATAATATCAACCTTTCATGTATTTTGACTTTGAATCAGAAATTAATAAGAAAAAGGAAGCTCAGCCATGAAAGAAAAGAGTTCTAATTGTAACGACCAACGACATGAAAACCAACCAATCGCTTATAGTTATGGGATCGTGTCAATGGCGGAGCGAAAAGATGGTCAAATTCGCTTTCTGGTACGATTCAATTCTTTGTTAAATTCTTCTTTGTGAAAATGGAGTAGCAGCCGAAATGTGATTCTGTTGTTACTGCTCGTGATTGATATTGAAGATGATGATGTTCTGTAAATAAACATTTATCAGAATTCGTCGGCCCTATTTGTTCCCCTGCTACCGTCAAAATCCGGAGACTCGTTCATTTTCCCAATCCCGCCTCTATTCTCTCGCTCTCTAGACCTGTTCTAATCGTTTTTCTGGGCGATATTTGTGCTTTTCAAGAGAAATTTTCTTTGAAGGTTCATGGATGGGTATTGATCTGATCGCTCGTTTCTTATGGATTTTATTTGTTTCTTCTGCCTTTGAGTTTATGTTTTGAGTTTCGTTTCATTAGAAAATCTCGGCATGACGATCGTTCTTTTGTTAAGATTTTCCAGTTTTTTGATATAGATGTTGCATCGTTTATTGATTGATTTCTAGGTCTTTTGATTGCTTTTTCTCGTAATTTGATGATCTGTTTCTATCTATGAAAAATCGATTGAGACGCCACAATTTATATTGCTATTTATGATCCTTTTCGCGTTTGGATATTCTTCTGTTCAGATAAAGAGAAAGAAGACATATGAATGACTAGGAAATGGGGAAGAAAGGGGGTTGGTTTGCTGCAGTGAGGAAGGTTCTCAGTAACAAGGTCGAATGGAGCAACTTCTGTTAACTTATTAGTCATATGGAAATCTTCCTTTTAACTTATAGATATGTTATTTCAACAGATACAAGAAAGATCCAAGAAAAAATGGTTCCAAAGGGAGGAGAGTGTGGACACATTTGTGGAACCATCCCTGTTAGATGTTCCCGCGGAACCTCCTCCTATGGAAGATGATATCAATCAAACTAAGCCAGAGGATGAACCGAGCGAGCTTCTGCATTCCGTGGCGGTGGAGCCTGCTGTTGATGAAGCTCAGCTGGCTGTGGATGATGAACATCTACCCAGTATTATACCCTGTAAGCCAGAAATGACTGAGGAAACAGGAGCTATTATTATTCAATCAGCCTTTCGTGGATATAAGGTACTTTATACTCCAGTTTACATGGAAGTTTGAGATTTTAAAGCGATGAGAATCATCTTTAATTGTTGTTGATGAAACAAACATGCATTTATGATTATTTCCAGCTATTTGTTCTTCAGAAATTTGTAGAATTCATAACCAAATTTTATCTCTGAGTAGTATATGAATTGGTACAATACACGGGTAGTTCCAGTTCATTGTATCGGGTGAAAATTTAGAATATGAGCCAAGATGTTATTTATAATTGATGTTGCTCTTTATTTGGAAATGGGAGATTTAGATATTGGAATCTGTATGCTCATTCACTTTTTTTGTTGCTATTCATAACATCATGAAAGCATTCTTCGATATCGTTCACCTCTATCCCGGATTTGAAAGAGATTTTCTTCTGCTGGATATTGGAAAGCATTGGCAATGATTTGCATCATGATATTCCCTGAGTGTTTATGAATGATTTTTACCATACAGGCGAGGAAAGTATCAAGGGGTCTCAAAGCGATAATGAGATTGAGGTCGTTGGTACAAGGCCACTCTGTGAAACGGCAGGTGGCCTCTACTTTAAAAAGTATGCAAACGCTTGCACATGTACAGTCAGAGGTTCGTGCAAGGAGAGTAAGAATGTCTGAAGAAAATCAGGATTTCCAGCGGCAACTTTGTAACAAACGTGAGAAAGATCATGAGAAGTTCAGAACTTCTGTAAGTCTGTGCTATGGCCGTATGAACTTGTACCGCCTGTTTTACCTTTCTTGTTGGTACTTAAATAAATTGTTCCAAGTTGCCCAGTGTATACACATTTTTGTGAGATCCCACCTCGGTTGGGGAGGAGAACAAAACACCCTTTATAAGGGTATCGAAACCTCTCTCTAGTAGACCGCGTTTTAAAAACCTTGAGAGGAAGTCCGAAAAAAAAAGTCGAAGAGGACAATATCTGTTAGCGATGGACTTGGCTGTTGCACATTTCATCTATACATATAATATACAAACATGTACTAAGGTCCAAATTTAAACCAAAGATCTATTATCATCATGCAGGGAAGTTTTTCTTTTCTTTTTAGTTTCTTCTTTTTGTTTAACAATAAAGTATCATTGATCAACTGTTGTTCTTTGCAGTTACTTTATGCTTTCTGCTTATCTAAGAAAAATTGTGAAATCGAACTTCAAGTAGTGTAGATGGGTTTTAATTAAAATAATGTTCTTCTTTTGACCTTCTATTCTTTATTGTAATTTGCAACCATTATACTTGCACTACAGATGGATGATGTCTGGAATCGTAGCACCCATTCTAAAGCACAAATGGAAGCCAAACTATTGAACAGGCAAGAGGCCGCAACAAGAAGAGAACGAGCTTTGGCGTATGCTCACTCACATCAGGTACTACAATTTCATATTTCTTTAGCTATAGTAGGTGTGAGATCCCACATCCGTTGGGGGAGGAGAACGAAACATTCTTTATAAGGGTGTGGAAACCTCTCCCTAGTAGACACGTTTTGAAAACCTTGAGAGGAATCTCGGAAAGAAAAGCCCAAGAGGACAATATCTGCTAGCGGTGGGTTTGCGCCGTTACAAATGGTATTAGAGTCAGACATCGAGCGATGTGCCAACGATGAGGTTGAGCCCCAAAGGGGGTGGACACGAGGCGGTGTGCTAGCAAAGATGCTGGGTCCCGAAGGGGGTGGATTGAGGGGTCTCATATTGATTGGAGAAGGAAATGAGAGCCAGTGTGGATGTTGGGTCCTGAAGGGGGGTGGATTGTGAGATCCCACATCGGTTGGAGAGGGGAACGAAACATTCTTTTTATGGGTGTGAAAACCTTTCCCTAGTAGACGCGTTTTAAAAACCTTAAGGGGAAGCCTGAAAGGGAAAGCCCAAATAAGACTATCTACTAACGGTGAGGTTGGACTGTTACAATTTCTTTCGGGATAGTTTAGAAAGAATTTGCTGGTACCAAATATATTATCTCACTTCACTAGCTTTTATATAAACATCAGATGGTTATAGCAACTCCTTGCAGTTTAGTTGTTGCTTTCTATTATCAGAATGTTGAAAGAATGCTCATAATAGGATTGAGTACCGATCCCTTTTAGAATGGAAATAAGTTTTGATCCTAACACCCATTGTTTCAGCGAACATGGAAGAGTTCTTCAAAAACTACAACCCATTCTGTCATGGATTCAAATAATCCCTACTGGGGCTGGAGTTGGTTGGAGAGATGGATGGCAGCTCGCCCATGGGAACTCCAAAGCACAGCCGATCACCCAGATCACATTTCTGTCACAAACGTCCCAACTCATGCATCTACAATCGACATAATCCAAGTTTATGCTCGTCGCGATCCGAACTCCCCTACGAAGCCTTCTCCAAGGA